AATATCATCCAATTTTTCATTAATCTATTATGTGTTAACTGAGTGGGATACTTTTATTTATCTTTTCATGAACGTTATGAATTGTTTGTAAACAATAATACCATATTTTTCTCTGTTATGAATTTACTTATTGTTTCATTTCGTTTATTATTTCTTTCATTCTTTTTAAAACATTTTTTTAAATAGTTTTATTCATTTTATTCTAAATTAAGTATTCTTATATTTTTATCTATCTTTCTATCACCACCTTCAAAAGACACTGTTGGTATTCTTTTATTCTTTCTTAAAGTTTCTTCACATCCACATCTATAAAAACATCCAAATCCAAATTCAATAAATGACGATGAAATATTAATTGATGTTAATGACACACACTCAGAAAAACACTTATCACCTAATTTATTAATTGAAGGTATGTTAATTGATTTCAATGAACTACATTCTTTAAAACAATTTGCACCTAACGCACTGACTCTTGATGGAATATTAATATTACTTAATGAATAGCATTTATTAAAAGTGTCATTTCTTAGGTCTCTAATTGATGACGGAATGTTAATTGATGTTAGTGAAGTGCAATCGTAAAAACTTCCATATCCTATATAAGTAACTACTGATGGTATATTAATTGTTGTTAATGATGAACATTTATAAAAGCACCAATTTCCTAATTTATTGACTGTTGATGGTATAGTAATATTACTCAATGATGAACATTCAAAAAAACAATAATCTTCAAATGAAGTAATTGATGATGGTATTTCAATTGAACTCATTGACCTACATCCACTAAAACAATTATTTTTTAATTTACTAATTGTTGTTGGTATAGTAACTGATGTCAATGATGAACATCCCATAAAACATTTAATTCCTAATTCGCTAATTGTTGTTGGTATATTAATTGATTGTAAAGACGTACAACTACCAAAACAGTTTTCACTTATTTTACTAACTGATGATGGTATAGTAATATTAGTTAATGAGGAACATTCATAAAAACAACTGTCTTTTATTTCACTGATTGATGATGGTATGTTAATACTATTTAATGAAGTACATCCATAAAAGGACTCTTTTCCTATTTCAGTCACTGTTGATGGAATATTAATTGATGACAATTGATAGCACTCTTTAAAACAATTATCTTTAAAACAATTAACTGTTGATGGAATAGTAAATTCATTAATATTTCTTATTTCTACTTCTTTTCCATTAATTCTTTTCAAATTATCAATGTAAATAAATCCTAAATTATATTCATTAACAAATATTTTATCTTTACTAATGAATAAAATATTTTGCATATTAAGTTCAGTTAATGATGAACATTTTTTAAAACAATCCTTTCCTATTTCATTTACTGAATTTGGAATATTAATACTACTTAACAACTCACATCCTTCAAAGCATACATCTCCTATTTTAGTAACTCTTGTTGACATGTTGATTGATGTTAAATCTTTACAATTACAAAAACAACCATCTCCTATTTTAGTAACTCTTGTTGGTATATTAATTGATTTTAATAAAGCACAACTATAAAAGCAAAAATTTCCAAGTGAATTAACTTCTGATGGTATTGTAGTTCCATACTTATCTTTATCTTTATCTGTATATTCTATATTTTTACAGATATTTCCGGATTCTTTTTCTTGTAAATATGTTGAATATTCTACTTTATACCATATTATTTTTTTAAATATTCTTCCATCATTAAATATCTCATTATTTCTATTATAAATATGAAATGTTTCAATGTTAGGAAAGAATTTTCTTGAATATTCATTTAAAGGAATTGGATTAAAATGAAATCTTTCCATATTTCCTTGAAATCTTTTAATTCCTATTTCTAAATTAATAAAATCATTAATATCATTAAAGTACATTGATGTTATCATTATTTCATTACATTCTAGCTTCATTCTTTCCTTATCGTTTCTTATTGCTAGTTCTCTATATAAGTTCATTCTTCTTTTTTCAGTTTGAAATACTTCGAAGACTACATTCGATTGTCTTCTTTTTTCTTATTTTATTCTTATTTTATTTTTAGTTTTTTTGTTATAAACAGTGGAAGAAGAGCCTAGAAGAAAAGAAATAAGAATAAAGAAATGAAGAATAGAATAATGAAAATAGAGAAATTAAGAGATGTCAAAATAATTCCAATAGTAATCTAGATAAATGAACTAGTAAATGTAGAAAGTATTAAAATAATTAAAGAATTAAAAATCGAAATTGACGTACTAAAGAAATTAAAAACCTTGTAATTAGGAACATGATGGACGTCGTGGAACACTGATTCTACCACAACCAAACATATGTTGTAGAATTACTTGAAGAAGACTCATTAACGAAATTAGTCTCCACTGAGTCAGGAACAATAGACACAAGTTCTATTAATACTTAATTAACTGCTTTTATATTTCTTATAAATAATGGAAGGAATGTCCTTCACTATAACATAACTAAGACAATTAATCAAGAAAGAAGTAGAAGTATAGAAATAATATTACAATCAAAATATGTAGATTAAGAAACTTGCTCCATAATAATCAATATATGAAATTAAAAAGAATATTACATATTAAAAATTATGATATATATCATATTAAAATAAAAACAAATGATCAAATAAACTATTACAAATACCTCCAAAGAATGAAAAGAATAGAAATAGAAGTAAGAATAAATTGAAAAGAATTAGAATGAATTATAAAATGTTAAAATATTGAAAGAGACAACTTCTAAATAGGCCTAAAGAAGATGAATATCAAGATAATATTACTACAATTAATTTCTGGAAAGGAATCTATGAAAATAACACTAATATAGATTTCATAAATATTAATTTATATGAAATATTAATTGAAAATATAATTAATAATAGAATGTGTGTAATCATTCTAAATGAATTAAATCATCTAATAAAATTTATTGATAATTGGAAAGCACCTGGAATTGATAAAATACAATGATTCTGGATTAAATATTTAGAACAACCAAAGAATTTCTTATTAAAATTATTTAATGAATTGTTGTATAATCATAATGATACCTATATTCAATTTATCCAAGGAAGAACAATATTAATATACAAGAAATGAGATAAATTATATAAACAAAATTACAGACAAATAACTTGTTTAAACTGTCTGTTAAAAGTATACACATCTTTATTAAAGATGAAGATAGAAAGCCAACTGATGCTAAATCAAATTGAAAAACAATTATCACAAAATCAAATTTGATGTAAAAAATATACATATTATCAAAAGAAGGATTATTATACAATACCATAATCAATCAGTTATTAATTAAGGATAAATGGAAGTGGGTAGAAACATATTATGATGTCTGTAAAGCATATGATAGTATTAATCATCAATGGGTTAAACAT